GTTTACATTTCGATGATTAAATTTAACTGGCGTACGCGCGTTTCGTTTAATCGGAGTGGCCAAAGTGGCAGGGCGTAGGTCAGACGTGCCCCCCGTTCGCCACTCGTCGACTAATCGAGCAGTAATAATTACCATCGACCTACATCATTAGCTCTGGCCGCAATTAGCGTTCCGCCATTCACGGTGCCGCGAATTTCAATGGAACAGGTTTTACGAGCCTCGCAAAAATCGCGGGCACTTTAGGTATATACATACGAGACTGGAGATTGCTCGCGCATGAAAATTGCACAGAGGTGTATGGAAATTTATTTACCGGGCTTCGGGGCCCGCGGAGTCGCGAGGTTGCGATGGTACAACAGCGGATAAGGGGGAACGAAGGGGGAATAATTGGAGGGCTGTTCGATTATTTGACTTTGTTGGCAGGATGAAGCTTTCCGTGTGCTGCACGATCCGGACACGTCCCTCTTAGGGGCACGATGAATTTTCGTTCGGCCCTGAACATTAGGCCTACTCGAAATTGACACTATGTCGTCCACGTTGGTGCGATTCACCACTTAAGGGTGATTCAATGGTCCTTGCTAAGGTTCACCCAAGTGGTGACTAGGTGATAACGAATAGGTGATAACTAGGTGTATACGAATCAAGGGATCATGGCAATAAGGACCTCCACTTAACTTGGGACGTTAGGTCCTAGGGCTGCAACACCTTATTTTCCTATCTTTAATTAACACTATGCCGTCTGGTAGCATCAGGTTGGACTATCGAGAAAATTCCTGTGACACCACGTATGGTATCATTGTAGGTATCATATGGTATCATACGGCATAGTGTTAAAATTACTATTTTCACTGAATGCACTGCGTTCTTTAACCTTGCATCTGCAACAAACCGTGCATCTCGCGAGGTGTCTCCGAAACATCGGCATTGGGACGAAACGATCGGTGGTTGGGGCTGTGGAAAATCCAAAGCTCGCAATCAGAGAGCCTCGAGGCTGGTGCAATAAAAGGAAGCACGGGAAGAAATAATTTGGCGGGAAGGAGGGTCGTGAGAAATTGTCCATTCGATGAATCTGTTCGTGGAGGGCGAGGTAAAAAGAGCAGAGGGAGGAGGAAGGTCGGGGGTGAGAGGGAAAGCAATGGCTGGTTCGTTTCGAGAGGAGAAAAAGAGGTGTCCTCCTTAACGTGTAACGAGAGCTTATTGCGGGATTGGTGGCGTCGGGACGCTGGCAATTTCGCCCTGGAATTCCGGCTTGCCAACCCCCCGCCATTGACACCGTACCCCTGCACTCTCGCGGCGTGTCAGGGGATGGTCCAGGCCGGAAACTTTCCCTGAAACTTATTGCCGAACTTATTACCGGAGTTTAAGCCGGCCTCGGCCACTTATCGCGGAATCTTCGGCCGACCGGAAGTTTAAAGGGCCAAGTGTGTGCACGGAAATGGTTGGAGGAGGTCGAACGGAGGAGGTGGGACAGGAAGGATAAAAAGGAGTCGCAATAAGCGTCCCGACGAGCCTCACTTGTCTCGAATTTTCTCTCCACTTCGGGATATTACGTTTTCTCTGCTTTATTCTCCCACTTCCGCTTCCTTCCTGTTCCTCCTGCTCCACCGATTCCGGCGATGGGAATTTCGGACGAGTAACGAGGAACCGACCAAGATTGCCGCGAAAAATCGCGCGAGATTGAAACATAGGGGACACGAGAGGCGGAGGGCCCGAGGGGAGCTGATTTATCGAAATGACCCAACTGCGAGCGAGCTTCTGACACGATTCCATAATTTTCCTTAATTTCCCCGGATTCGTTTACTTTCGGACCATCTATCGACTGTCTCTGATCACCGCTATATTCCGAAATATCAAAGAGGTCGAATTACCAACGAATTTTATTTTTACCCTAATTAAACTCCAGAGAGACGTGCACCAGGATCTCTTCCTCGTCTATACGAATTTAACCAGCTAGCTGTGACTGACGAGCATATTCCTCATGGAGAAGTGACAGGATTTTGTGTCGCGACGAGTATACTCGTCACGCGTAAAAAGTAGCGACCATTGGCTATTTAAATTGTAATTTTTATGAAAAATAAAACATATTCTCAAATTTCCAGATGTTTGGAATATTTTAAAGCCAGGTTGGAATTAAATAAACAAATGAAAAGTACGAATAATGTAGGATACCAATTTTGATCTAATTTTTTAACAGCCACGCTTACTCCGTGGTTGACGAGTATACTCGTCATCGCTCGATTTTCGCGACACGTATAAATGCGCGCTTTCGAAAGGGGGCGCCACAGCTAGCTGGTTAATATGACACATTATGGGTGAGAAAATGGAATAAATATAAAACTTTGGCAATAAGTAGAGTGGAGACAATATAAACGACAGTAGATGGAATTACTGGAGCGAAGGTTAATTCGAGACGAATAACAAGTTCGATTAATACCAAACACTCGACGCGGGAAAGCAATCAGTCGGCCAGCTGTTACGAAATTATTCTCACGTCCTCCTGCATCCCTCGCTCCCAAGTCGACCAAGATTCTTCGATTAAATACGAAAAGAGAGAGGAAGAGAGGAGAAAGCACGAGTCTGCGGTTTTTCCTGCCACATGGTCGACGAAGTTACGTGGATGGGATTACGAGCACAATTACATAAGTGGAGGGCCAAGTGCCTCGTGCCGTGCAAGAGCCACTACAACTGTCCTTGCCTCTCTTCCACTCAATTATCATCTCCCACTCTCTCTTTTTTCCCTTCGGAAAGCGCGATACGTCACATCCCACCATTGTCTCCCAGTTTGAGAACACTTGCGCGGAAACTGAAGCAAACGAGCATCGGGGTGGCAACTGCTAAGCCTCTTCGACCTTTCCGACACGTCCGTTCCTCCATTCGTTTCGCTAAATAATGTGATTTTAAGTACTAAGTAGCAGGTAGCTCTTCTACGACAGGGCATCCTATAACACGATTTCGCTATGACACGATTCATAAACTGCGGTAGCCCTCTTACAACTGGGCATTCTATAATACAGTTTCACTGTAACACGACCTTGTCCTATAACATCTTCCCTATTTTACCGATTGATTCCGTTGAAACTAAGATACGTCTTAACGTATCGAACGTACAAAAATTAATCTCTCGGGAGAAATGGATATATCTTTAAACTACGCGCCGAAGAGGTTCCGGGAACACGTGAAGTGTTTATTTCACGCATTAAATAAGAATTAGGGGACCAGGACGAGCTGCAATAGCATACCCTTTTTCTTCACACTAGTTTTGTCTCTTCATGCGAACAATCAGAATACATTTGATATACCTTCCTTAGAATAGAATAAAGATAGTTATTTCTTTTTACCTATAATTCCAATAAAAATTAAGTATATTTTGTAGAAGTAAACAAAAATTTGTTTTTAATAAGTTTTTGGAACGTAACCCCCCTTTTTGTACTGGCTCTGGGTCTCATACGACACGGCATTTTCTAGGAACCTATCTACCGTGTTATAGGAGGGTTACCTGTATAATATAAACGAAAAAAGACCCGAGGATAATGAGTGAAAAATGAAAAACTAACGAAGATTAAACGGCGAGAATTAGGGTCCCTTTAATCGCTCTCTAAATTATCCTTCAACCCAATTGGTTCTCAAAGAGACATTTCTCGATGGCTCGTTATTAATAGATTCTTTCGAATAGTCGTTTATAAATGTCGGATATTTTCCGACTTTCCTTCGTTATTAGTTTTTCCAGCTCGCAAGTTGGAAGCTGGATACGAGTTGTTTCTCGTTTACGGGTCAATTACCGGGACAGGATGTCGCGGGGAACCGATGTTTCGACGTTAATTTCTCGTTCTTATCGACGTGGTACCTGGAATCCAGCAGGTCCCGAGAGATCGCGACGAAAAGCTACGTCATGGCCAAACTGGCGAAGTAATTTCGCGCTGGCTGCGACCTCGAAATACCAAACTTTCCTCGCCCTATCTTCGAGTCCATTGCACCCCCTTTCGCAATCCTAAGAAGCCTAATTTCCTCTAGTTGCTTCTTAATTGCAGCCGTCCTCCCCATCCCCCACTCCTTCTCCCAGAAATAAATCGTTGCGAAACGCAGCGGAATTTAGACCGAGGGTGTTAATAAATTTTTCCCGAATCGCGACGGTCGTCGTGTCTGGAAATCATTTTCCCAGCGACATTCCCAGGGACAAGGATCGAATTTCGCGAGCCTCCAGAACGATTTTTCTCCGATAAAATGGATTACAAGTTTGATATATTCCCGCGCTGCAACGGCGAGCAGACGTTCCCCTGCAACGACTTATAAGTTCGGGGTGGTTGAACTTCGGGGGATTAAACGGTGTATAACTCGTGCCCAGAGCATTCCCGCAAGTTTAGCGATCAAATAAATTGTTAATCCCCGGGAACTAACATCCGATTTGGACGGAATTAAACGCGTCCGCTCGATTTTATCTCGCCGAAGACGCGTTTCGCGGATTCGATTATCGTCGAAATAATCCTTGGTAAATCGTATCCCAAGGCACCCAACTTTCCCCTCCCTCCTCTTATCTTCATCCCCCGAGTTCCGAGGCTGCATTCGTTACGCTAAGCAGTGCATTTCACCTCTTTGAATGCCAGTTGTAACTCACGCTCACCGGAGATAAGCGGACAGCTTTCGGGAAACTCGTTGCTCCACCGATCAGATGTGTACGCGATGCAAATGGATTTTTGCGAGATTAACGCGTTAAGTGCCCAGCCCGGTTTGCTTGCCGTTCCGTTCAGGACCTAGACTCGTCGTCAAGTCACCAACAGCTGGCTAAGTGTTCATAAAACTTGGAAATAATGTAGCAATTGTTATAACAGGAATTTCTAAACTTTAGGCCCAAAGATGACGAAGAATTTAACACCAAAATTTAGCATCTTTTGGTCCTAGTCTGGGTCGGTCTTTGGGGACCAACATGGCACTTAACGCGTTAGAAGGGGGTATCGAGAGTCGTTGAAGACTCGTTGGTGACTCGTTGATGAAATTTTCCTCACCTCATGGGCTTGAAGAGCGCCTGCATGTTGGAGAAATTGATCTGCAGCTTCAGCTGTGTGCCACCCTCCTTCTGGACTGTGAACAAAAAGGCGGGAAATCAAAGATAAATTAATCTTCTCTATCAAATAATAAACAGCGGCATCGGCTTTGACGAGGTGAATGAGTGTATGGATCGCATGGAAGCGTTTGGGCGACTCCTTGAAAAGTAAGAAGTAGAGAACGGCGGTATCGGGTGTTTGGTGCAAAAAGAACAAATGACAGCGGCAAATCCTGTTGTCGGAATGTCTGTAGAATGATTGAGAGAGAAAGCGTGTGTATAGAATGGGATAGATCTGGCTTTAAATAGAGATGCAAGGGCACGAGGCAAGCAGACGGGGTGCAGTTGAGACGTTGAGTGTTATAATTGAGAAGAACCTGGTGTATGATGTCAATTAAATAAACTTGCTTCGGTATTAAAGAGAGTTGTTCTTTATTAGACACGCAGATTTTGGTCTGCATAGGATCAATATAGCTAAAAATTCTACAATAATTTAATCGGTGCTCTTATATACCCCGTGTACGTCGAGAGCACCCGCGAATTCGTTTACGAGTGACAGGGATCAGAATAAAGCCGACAGCTTGGGAAAATTAGGCCGAGAAGATGGGACGGTGGAAAAACAAGGGTTTCTCCGAAGATGGCGTTGAAAAGTTATCTGGGAGGTTAAAATAGGGTAAATTCGATTTAATGGAAAGTTGGTGGAAATAATTTCATGGCTGCATGACAGGAGAGAAAACGGCGCGCAGCTCGGGCGGGTGAACGGGAAAAATTTCTTGGCAGAGACGCACGGAGTGATATCGATCGTGCGTCGTCCACTGTGTCAATTTCATAAATGATATATGCCTAATTTAGGTGCCAGCCGTCCGGGTTACCCGCGGTCAATTTATCATACAGGACAATTAATCGTCGACCTGCTGTCGCGTCGCTGGAATTATTGACTCGAACTACTTAGACCTCGTGCTCGGGCCTGAAACCGCTGCTTACACGATGGGGGCCAATTTAGCCTTATTTTTCTTCCATCAACCCGACCGTACGATAATTCCATCGTTGCTAGATCGATTTCTCCATTTTCCTCTAATTATCCGTACGCTCGAATGCCTCGCGGATCCTTAATACGGCGAGCGTAAACGCGAGGTCATGGCGGGAGCGAGAGTTAAAAATAAAACGCGTTTACGGGCAATTAGAACTGACATTGAACCGCAGAGAACGATGTTATGCAATGCGAGGAACGACAGTGCTCTGCTGCATACTTTATTATCGCGGTTACACGACCAAGAGGCGAGACTTCGCCGCGTATTTCGATCACCGATTTCCCGGAAGCGGCTGAATCCGTGTCAGACGCCGCTCTACACGCCGGATACCCATCGATTTTCGAACCCGACCGTAGGGTAGCTTCCCCTTGAACTCCAGCAAAGTTCAAAGGTCGCTTCGGGGAAAAACCGAGAGTTCGGAAGCGCGAAACTCGGCGAGATTTCGGTTATCGCCCTGCTTCATCCACCAGCCTTTAATTTCTTTGTTTACCTGCCGAGGGTGGACAGCGAATACATCTGTATCGTCATATATATATATACAAAGATTTTTGTGTAACGAATGAAACGAACGAAAGAAAAATTTTAAAGCCATATTGAAAAGGTACGTCAATGGTATTAGGTAGGTCGAGAAATTTATTAATTTATTAATTTAATGGGATGTCCAATTCTAATAATATTTGGGGGGAATACGTAAATCTATTACTAGATTAGTCGGTTAATAAAAAATATTAGAATTTTTTAAAATTCTTGCCTGCAAATGAGAATATTAGATCAGGGCTCTAGAGAGGTTAACACAGGCTTGGTAAACGGGTAGTTATTATTTCCTGTAATTAATTTTATTTTCCGGATGTCTATAGTTACTTGCAAATGTAGTGCAGTGCATGTGTGATTATATAAACAGTGTCAATACGATTTCTAATTACTTTTTGGGTGAAAATATGTAAATCTATTACTAGACTAGTCGGTTAATAAAAAATATTAAAATTTTTTAAAATTCTTCCTGTCAAATGAGAATATTAGATCAGGGCTCTAGAGAGGTTAACATAGCCTTGGTAAACGAGTTATTATTACTTCCTGTAATTAATTTTATTTTACAACTGTAGATAGTTACTTGCAAAAATAGTGCAGAGCATGTGTGATTATATAAACAGCGTGATTGCGATTTCTAATTATTTTTTGGAGGGAGATATGTAAATCTATTATTATACTAGTCAGTTAATGAAAAATATTAAAATTTTTTTGAATTTTTGCTTTCAAATGTGGATATTAAATCAGAGCTCTGGAAAGGTTAACATAGGCTTGTTAAGCGGGTTATTATTACTTTCTGTAATTAATTTTATTTTACAACTGTAGATTACTTGCAAAAATATTGTAGACCACGTGTGTTTATATAAACAGCGTGAATGCGATTTCTAATTATTTTTTGTGTGAAAATATGTAAATCTATTACTAGACTAGTCGGTTAATAAAAAATATTACAATTTTTGAAAATTCTTCCTGTCAAATGAGAATATTAGATCAGGGCTCTAGAGAGGTTAACACAGGCTTGGTAAACGGGTAGTTATTATTTCCTGTAATTAATTTTATTTTCCGGATGTATATAGTTACTTGCAAATGAAGTGCAGTGCATGTGTGATTATATAAACAGTGTCAATATGATTTCTAATTACTTTTTGGGTGAAAATATGTAAATCTATTACTAGACTAGTCGGTAAATAAAAAATAATAAAATTTTTTAAAATTCTTCCTGTCAAATGAGAATATTAGATCAGAGCTATAGAGAGGTTAACACAGGTTTACTAAGCGGGTTATTATTATTTCCTGTAATTAATTTTATTTTACGAGTGGAGATAATTATTTGCAAAAATAGTACAGTGCACGTGTGTTTATACAAACAGGGTGAATTTTCGCGAGGAGAGAATGGAGAGTTATTAGTCGAAAGCATGGAGCTGCTATCGAAATAAGTTTTCAACGTATCGAACGACGAAACCCACTCTTCGTGTAATTTAATTATTGTCTAGCAAGTTGGATCGAGCTGCTTTGTTACCAAGACACCGGAGGATCGTCTTTATTCCGTCCTCCCCCCTGATCGGCGATCTAATTTCCCTCGGCAGCTCGATACCGCTTAATAATTGCATCCCCGTCGACCAGCCACTGCTTGCCACTGATTTAACTTCCTCCCGTTGCCTCTGCCTCGCGATTTGTTCAACAAACTATCCTCCAATACTATCAAAATTACATCGATCCATTCGTCTTCGTCGAGGCAAACTTTCCAGGCTCTCGCGAATCGCTGCGACTCGAAATTCGTCGAATTTCTCACCGACTCGTCCTACCTACCAGCTTCGATCCTCGATCAAACCTTTTCCAAAATAACTCTTTCATTTTACTTTTATTTTATCATAAATTATAAATTTTATTATTTTTTTATCATCATAAATATAATTTTTATTTAACTATTATTTAATTTTTATTTAACTTTTATTGAATTTTAATTTAATTTTTATATAATTTTTATTTTATTACAAATATCCCTATTTTCTCGATTTCAAATGGAAAAAGAAAGGATTACGAATTATTTAAAATTCTAAGGACAAAGAAAACAAAATGGGGACTTACAGTGATCGATCCTGGACGGATTAAGAGGTAAGACAAAGCTTCGATCTTCGATTAAGCCTTTGCCAAAATAACTCTTTTATTTTACTTTTCTTCTCCTGATTTTGAATACGAAAAACAGAGAATTTCGTAAATTACGAATTACTTAAAATTCGAAAGATAAAGGAAAGACAAAATGGAGACTTCTAGACTCGATTACTATAATCCACGATCCTCCTGATCTCGGATAGAAAAATGGAGAATTTCGTAAATTAAGAAATATTAAAAATTCCATGCGCAAAGGGAATAAAATGGAGACTCCAAAACTCGATTATTATAAACTACGATCCTCCTGATCTCGGATAGGAAAATGGAGAATTTCGTAAATTAAGAATTATTAAAAATTCCAAGCGCAAAGGGAATAAAATGGAGACTCCTAAACTCGATTATTATAAACTACGGTCCTCCTGATCCCGGATAGAAAAATGGAGAATTTCGTAAATTAGAAATTACCGAAAATTCCAAGCTCGAAAGGGGAACAAAATGGAGACATCCAGAGATCGATCTTGGACTGGCGAAAACGCGGAGAAGGGAAGGAAAGAAAGGTAAAAGAGACAAGCTCGCGATGAAAAGCTACACGCGTGGAGAGTATAAATAATCGAAGAGAAGCCGACATAATGATCGAGCCGGAAATTGCGCGTACAACCTCGTGCCAGGTCTAATTTTAAAACGTTACGCTCGAAAAGTCCACGAGAGCCGATCTTTCTATCCTTGCCTCTCTCCTCCGTGTCTGTTCCCCTCTTTCCATGGGATCGGACGATCGCTCGGCATTGTTAGTCAATGAACCGCGTAGTAGCAATTACTAAGCACAAAGCCACGGTCACAATAACACCGGTTAATTGTCTGGCTTCATGGGCCGGAGAGAAATTAATTCCAACAGAGAAGATTATTGCGCCGCCGTTTCCAGATTAATTTTATGCCAGCTCGTCTAATTCCCTCTTCCCCGCTCTCTGCTCGTTTCATTTGTTGCGTCGGCTTCGTTAGCTCCCTCACTCGCGACGATCAAACCGACGGCAATATGCGTCCTCTGTCACGGTTCCGTTCCCCATCGAATATACCATAATCACGGGCCCAGGAATGGAGATACAAAGACAATTAGCCGATTGGATCGCGGTTTCGTGGTTCGTTTTTCTCTACAATGGTCTACTATCCTACTCCAATTTACTAGAAAATTGTCAATTTTTGGAAGACACTTGTTGTATACCCGAAAAATGTGTAGAATTTAAGAAGATGGACAATCTTGACTGCCTCTGAAAATAGGTAATGTTCGGGAATTTTTTTAAGGGGGAATCAGTGGGGAAAAAAATTCGGGATTTTTGGTTTTAATTTAGGTACCCCTTCAATGCATTGCTGAATTTTTTCCAAACGAAATATTGCGAAATAATAGAGATACTCGCCATTTTATGAAGCCCCGTTTCTTCGCGGACTCTCAATACCGAGAACATCGAATATACCATAATCATGAGCCCAGAAATGGAGATACAAAGACAATTAGCCGATTGGATCGCGGTATCGCGGTTCGTTTTTCTCTACAATGATCTATCCTACTCCAATTTACTAGAAAATTGTCAATTTTTGGAAGACACTTGTTGTATACCCGAAAAATGTGTAGAATTTAAGAAGATGGACGATCTTCACGGCCTCCGAAGATAGGAAATGTTTGGGAATTTTTTTAAGGGGTAATCGGTGGGAGAAAAAATTCGGGATTTTTGGTTTTAATTTAGGTACCTCTTCAATGCATTGCTGAATTTTTTCCAAACGAAATATCGGAGATACTCGCCATTTTATGAAGTCCCGTTTCTTCGCGGACTCTCAATACCGAGAACATCGAATATACCATAATCATGAGCCCAGAAATGGAGATACAAAGACAATTAGCCGATTGGATCGCGGTTTCGCGGTTCGTTTTTCTCTACAATGATCTACTATCCTACTCCAATTTACTAGAAAATCGTCAATTTTTGGAAGACACCTGTTTTCTATCCGAAAAAGATATACAATTTAGGAAGATAGACGATCTTGACCGCCTCTGAAGATAGGTAATATTCGAGAATTTTTTTAAGGGGGAATCAGTGGGAGAAAAAATTCGGGATTTTTGATTTCACTTTAAGTATCTCTTGAATATAGAGCTGAATTTTTTCCAAACGAAATATTGCGAAATATCAGAGATACTCGCCATTTTATGGAGTCCTGTTTCTTCGCGGACTTTCAATACTGATTGTGAGAAGAACAGAGAGCATTCGAAGCGAAGAATATAGCAGCAATTTTATACAAAATTGTCCTTTTCATAGTAGAAATCGTCTCTGAACATTTAGAAATCATCGTTGTACCAGCTTCCAATCGTAAGAAAATTGGGATTTTCTAAGAAAGAAAAATACCAGATTCCTTCGGGCTGCAAGGTACCTACCTCCTTAGCGAGGTTTAATTTATTAACTAAACGGAATTGTTCTTCGAATCCGCTATTTCCGCGGAGATTTTCGCGAGACCCATCGTATCGGCGGAGAAGCGAGGGAAGGAAGAAAAAGGTCGATTTATTTTGAGCCACGCGAAATTTAATAAAGGTCCACGTACAGGCTGCCGGCTTACCATCTATTATTTCGCCGTAGGAAAAATTCCAGGCACGATTTGCGTGCACTGTCGCTCGAAAATTTATATTACACGTTCGATCGTGTAGTATTACGCGAGTGGAAGGAGCGTCGGTGTCGAAGAATTTCGATTATCATGCGCTTCGTCAGACTGGGTCGAAGGTCTGGCCAGTGACGTCCGATTCCACTTAAGGCGCTAATTTTCATTTGCAGAAAATAGCGCGTACAAATGCTAACGTTTGAGAGTGAACGCAAGGGAACACTTGGACCTACCTAGTTGACGATGGCCAATAAACAGGAGCCTGGGGTCCAGGTCGAATGTTCAGGGTGACGTCTGGAGTGCACGTGGAAGGACGAGTGACCGTGCGCGAGGAATATTTACGACTGTATCGAGTGCAAACAAGGAGGGAAAATTAGGAATGGGTCCCATGGAGGGCCCAAGTCGCGAGGGGGTAAGTGAACGAGAAAGAAAGCACGAGTAGGGAAGAGTAGAGACAGTAGGTTTAACCCTTTCGCTACGGACGCATTCTCCGACACTCTACTACTCCCGCTCCAAAAGTGTCTCTCTCGAGTCATTTTGTCAGCTTGAAATCTTATGGAGTAAAACAAGTGGAAACGCTCGCGATGGGTAAGATAATGAAGATAACATATACACTCTGCTCGCGAAACTTCACGAGTGACTTGAGTCACCGTTCATAGCGAAAGGGTTAAATAAGGGTGCAAGGGCGTGAAACGGGACAATTCTTTGAGAGAGTAAGCGTGAGAATTATTGACATTGGAATTAGTTCGCAATAAATTAGATATTTGTAGGAATTTTCTTTAATAGCTCGCTTTTCCTACGAAATAACTATTATATATCTCTTCACACACTGACGACCACATTTTAACACTAGATTTACGAAACCCGATGGGTTGCTCCAATTATACGATGGTAACAGATTTAGTTAACTTATATTGTGATTGTTTCTAAATTAAACTAATCGTTAAAAAAAGAAGAGACACGTGGTTTCCTTTATCTGTCAATTTGACAGGTATCAAATATGTAGAAATAGGTATACAGATAGAGTGCGTAAATCTAGTGTTAACCAACTTCGCAACTGCCTAACCTAACCTAACCAATTTCGTAACTGCCTAGTAACTCCTTAATAACTGACTCTTTCTCCAGAACGGGCCCTTTTAAAGATCGTGCCCGTAGCGAATCTCTCTTGTTTCATAGCCGTCAGTCTATGTATAAGCTAATTGTATTCTATTAAGAAGCAAACAACACTATTTTAGCCAATCCACCCAAACGCGATCCTAGATAAATATTCCAATAAACCTAACCGACCTACTCGTGGCATCGCTATATCGGACGTGCTACCCTAGTTTTCACGGGAAGGAGAGAAAAACATGGAGAACTCACCGACATGGACGACAGGCTTCGTGGCGATTTCGTGCAACAATTGGTCCACGTACTTGGAGTTCTCCGGGTACAGTTCGGTCCTGGATATCTGCAGATGGAACTTCTCCAGGGTCGAACTGTTCTTCCTGAAAGCAGACGAACGCTATATTAATCCGCGTGTAATCGGTACAGTATCGGTATAAGTAGAAAGTGGCAGGGGACGCAAGGGCTCGTGGAGAATCGTGGAGGCTCTCCAGATCTCGAATGTCAGAGATGTCACGGTTACACGCGTTGCAATCGGAGAAACGCGGTTCGTGGGCTCTTAAAATGCATGGAACGCCGTCGAAGAGTGTGACCCCTCGTTTCGAGCACTCCCATGCTGCCTGATAGGCCATCTCATGGCGGAGGACGGTGTTTCCCATGGCGGTACGTGAACGCCGTTAAAGGGTGCTTCTGGACTTATCTCCGGCTAGAAGGGTTTAGTCGCGAATGCGTGACACGTGTCCACGATAACGTAGACTCCTCTAGAATCGTCCCTGTGGCCCTCTCGCAGCTGTCTGCCTCCTCTCAGGTAAGTTCGCGGCAATCCGAGTTCGAATTCGTGTTCTCCGCGATTTTTCTGTCCCTTGTTTGCGTTAGTTCGCGCGAAGCAGACGTTGCTTTTCGCGCTTTTAATGCATTTAACGCTTTTAAGGCTTCCGAGTTGTCCTTTTGTTCGCCTCGGCTCCCGGAACGGGGGACGAGGGACGCAGAAGGGGCGCGGAAGAGGGGTGAAGGAAAGGGCTTGTTTCACGACGGTTGATCCACCGTTTCAGCAGAAAATCCTCACCTCAACCCTCTCTCTTCCGAGACGAAAGGAAGCGGCAGGATGGCCGAGCCATTCCTCGAGACTTGCATACTGATCACTCGACGACGTCGCGTTCGATCTTGCTGAATTATATCAGGAATCAAACGAATGGGCCAACTTGCCAGAGACGCTGTTTTCCAGCCATCCTCGGAAAGTTCCCGCGATTTATGGTCGTCTGCAGCTTTTTTCATCGCGGATGAGCAGAGCTTATTTTCTCGGAGCGCACGTGAAAACGCTAGGGTCTGTTAAATTGAAAGTTTGGCCAGATTTCTGGGAAAACAAATCCCCCGTGATCCCGGGGAAAAATACCGCGGTATTTGCATACTCCCGTGTGTCCATGCGCACGTGTAAGGGGAGAGAAAGAGAGAGGGGACTCGATTCTAATGAGTGTAACTCTCGGTGCCTGCTTTACTTAATTCTTCTTTATACGATACACGTCGCTCTCTTCTCTCGCGTAAGACTCCTCGATTCGATCCTCGAGCTTTTTAACACCCCTTTTAACACCCCTTGAACTACGCTGAAACCCGGAAAAAGGTCGTGCCAAACCCGTGTGCCTGAATAGTCGGGGAAGGAGCCGAATTTGAAACACGATATTTTACGATTAAGTGCGAGATAGCCGCGAGCCCATTCGAGATATTCATACTTGGCCCAAGAGTAAGATCACGAGTTAGACTCGTGACATTCATGTTTGACCCGAAACATCGATCACGAGTCAGACTCGTGATATTCAAGTTTGGCCCAAAATGTCGATCACGAGTCAGACTCGTGATAATCAAGTGTGGCCTAAAATTTTCATCACGAGTCAGACTCGTGAAAATAGTGCAAGGGGTTGAAGATGGGCCTGCTTTGTTAAGTCGTCGCGAATATCAAGCGGAGACCCCTGTTTCCACTGCTACGTTCTCGTCGCCTTATCGATAACAGAAGCTCGCGTAATCGAACATACTCTTACACACGGGACTATTGCATCGTGGGAAAGCTGATAATTTTCCCTAATATCTCAGTGGAGTCGAAGAATCGGGTCACGAAAGTTCCCTGTCGTCTCGAGTCCGATGAAGTTGCCCGGGATATTGAAATCAGTTCCTTCCGGAATGAACACGATTTACGTCGAAAACACCTGACAGCCTCCGCTTTCCCAACTCCCAAAGTGGAAATCTCGATCCTCTCTCTCTCTCACCCAGCAACGGGGCCCCATTACCGTAGAAAGATCCCACAATCGTGGCTGTCACGATCGTAAGCAACCGCCGATAAAAGTATCTCTAAGAGAAAATCTTCGAAGAATTGCACGCGCGTGGACAAGGACGAATCTGCTCGCGAAATCTTGAATTTCTCGCCATTTTCCATCCCGCCGCTCGTTCCTCGTCGGACACGCCGAAATTACGTTCCCGTTCGACATCGGATTCAACGGCGCGCAATTGCAATAAAACACTCGAAGGCAGTTCGTAAGCAACGAGAACGGGAAAATATTCGCAGAATTGCATACAGGATGGCTCGCGATTCGGACACTCGTAAATTGCGTCGGAATCCGGCACGGAATAACGAGCTTCAGGGGCGGTCGTAAAAGTTGTTTTTCCCGAAAACTTTATCAGCCATCACGGTCAGTCGCGGCTCGATCTAACGAGATTAATCAACGAGCTAATTGTCAACTTAATCATCCCGCGTCTCTGTCCCTCTCCCGCTCGTTTGTCCATTCGCGTCGCGGAGTTGCGTGCTTTTCGCGAAATTTTTCTCAGCCTGGGACAATGCGGGACTCGTATCTAGATTTTCGAAATGGGCAAGAATCGCGAAGGCCAGTGGTTTGTCTCGGTTCACGGAATCGATCTCGTCACGATGATTCGCGGAGCTAACCATTGTCATCGTTTCGCGATTGCTGTGTTATTAATTCGCACGAAGATAGAAGAGGAGCAGGATGGACAAAGGGGTTTGTGAAACGAGCAGATCTCAGTGAGGCGAATCTCGAGGAGCTTCTTAGAGGCGAATCGACTTCGTGGAAGGAGCACTGACAAGGGCGTGGATTCTCGCGACACCTTAATTAAGCAACTTCTGAGGTGTTCGAAGGTGCCTGAATTAATTGGCTGAAACCTTCGTGTACGGCATATATTACAGGCCCCGTATCATCTTTAAGTCATCCGAGGGTATGGTGCGTTCGAGAAAAGAATTTCGTTGACGCTCCCTCGATTAGAGGCAGTGACCGCTATTGGCAGAATGTTGACGAAGATCATCGAGTGGGATAGGATATGGCAGTGTGAAGCCGATTTTATCAACGACCGAAATGCATTAATGAATCAGGAGTCAAACATGAGTCAACGGGTGCCTCTTATCATCTCTTCAAACCTTTTCCTATTACAAATCCAAATCCGTGACAAGTCATTCGAAAGAAAACTAAGTCCATTGACAGCCAATCCTGAGTCAACCAATATTTCTATCTCCGAAGTGCACTAATGACTCAGGAGTCAACGTATATCATCTTACCACTTCTTCAAACCTTTTCCTATTACAAATCCCAAATCTGTGACAAGTCATTCGAAAGAAAACTAAGTCCATTGACAGCCAATCCCGAGTCAACCAATATTTCTATCTCCGAAGTGCACTAATGACTCAGGAGTGAACGGATATCATCTTACCACCTCTTCAAACCTTTTTCTATTACAAATCCCAAATCCGTGACAAGTCATTCGAAAGAAAACTAAGTCCATTGACAGCCAATCCTGAGTCAATCAATATTTCAACGTCCAAAGTGCACTAATGAATCAGGAGTCTACCCTAAGTCAATGGGTGCCTCTTATCATCTCTTCAAACCTGTGACAAGTCATTCGAAACGAACCAAAGTCCATCGATAGCCAATCCTGTGTCAATATTTCCATAAAACATACCCCTTCCCTAACATACAGTTCCACATATATATATCCACACCAGGCCACGAATAAAGAGCATTCTGCACAGTACAACACCCTGTTATACCTTCGCAAGACCTTCCATGACTATACGTAATTATCCGCGATAGTCCCTATTCGAGAATTGGCAGAACGTCCTTCTCCTTACATCACAGTAATTGTCCCGTGACAGCCGCATCGCCATTAGTTTTCCGTCTCTCGATAACTTCGAAGACTACCCAGATGCTGTCATATCCTATCTAACTCGCTCTCTCTATGACTTACCAATAGTCTTCATCGCTATTTTCGGTGAACAGTGTTCAACACCTGTGATGCCAACGGAGCCAGTCAGTCTCGAGGATGTAAACACTCCGTGTCATCTTTCCTCGAACGTACAATACCAGCGATCGATCTCGATCCTTTTTCCACGCAGGAAAATCACCGAGAAGATCGCGCGTGCGAATTCCTGTGTCGTCCCACGCGTAATTTCGCGTCTGCAGATTTAATCGTTGCCACCCGGGAGCTAAAGTACCTGCGAGGTGTTTCGAGGATCTTCGAGGGCGACTCGAGGCCTCGAGCTTCATTTGCTCCCTCGCGGGAGAAAAATGAGACGGGAAATTAGCCTTTGGAGGAGCAGCGGGAGGAAGAAGAAGGAGAGGAAGATTGATGAAGAGATCGGTTGACTTTCGGTTGGACACGGTGATCACGAAACGACCTCTGTCATGCTAATCTCCTTTGTCCAGTCCGTGATTAATTCCAAGGACCGTCGTGTGCTGTTTTATAAATAACAGAGAGCACGAAGAACATATTAATGCGCTTATGATTCACTCCGATAACGTGGCCAATCTGCGAAGGTCCGGTCGAACGGTCACCAACGCTGACTAATTTCCCGGTTTCGTGGAAATTCGTCATCGTGCCGCGGTTTATTTTCCGCCTTCCGCGCGATTCTTAGCCGCGAAGCGAGAGACACGGAAGCAATTTGGCTTTGCATACGCTAATTAACGTAATCCCGCGAACTGGGACTGGCGTGCGGGAACGGTGCATTAGACTTCTATGAGCATGTAATTAGATCGCGCGTTTGCGTAAGCACCGGACTGTTCTTCCCTGATTTCTTGACAGCAGCAGCCGCGATCGCTCTCGATGCAGCGGTTCCGTGCGATGAGGCGCGAAGAATGGAAGGAAATCGGTGACATTTAGCCGAGAAAATGTTTTAAAACGTCGCGACGCGGGAAGAAGGATTCAGCCCTGGGTCGAACAATGGCAGGGTTCGTAGAAACTGTGTCACGGTATCTCGATTTTTCCTTCGCTGCAAACCTGCGTTTCCCGGCCACGTTGTTCCACCTAATCCATGCGTGTGCCTCCATTCCGCGTAGATGCGTTTAATATGCGCGTTGCCGGCCGTGTATCGTCGAGGATTAAACTCCATGCT